ACGGTGCGGTGGGTGCCCCGCACTACGGTGTAGGACGGCAGAAAAGATGACGGCAGAAAAAAGATTAAAAAAGATTCTCTCGCGACGACGAAAGCAGATGAAGGCGATTGTATGGCTGTGACTCCTCGTGACAGTTCCATCTGAGCAGATAGTATAAAGAGTCAGGATGCTCTTTGCGTGGTATGACTCTGTATTGACGCCTTTTTGGAGGGGAAATAGAGATGCGTCATTCTGTTGGGAGAGTCGAGTCGAGTCAGTCGAGATTGGCCTGGCTTGGTTTTGGGAAGGAACTGGTGTGCTGGCTAGGTAAGTAAGTTATGGGAGCAAGACAAGTAGTGAGAAAGGATTGGCTCACTCTAGAATATGGATAGGACATACCTCCGTATGCTAGAGTACATAACTTGTGCTTGTGCCAACTGCTAATTTGTAGGTACTGCGACTCTCCTGGCGGGCGCTTGCTCTCTCCTTGAAATAGAGAAGTCATGTCTTCACCCCTCGGTCTCCATCGATAATCATAATCATATCATAATCATAACATAATCATACGCACTCTGCTATCTATCTACCGCGTTTACAAAGTATTTTGGCTGTGACTTGAATTCATAAAGTCATGTCCAGATGTAGCGGTGAAGGCGTGAGGCAACCAATCATCTTCATTGCTCCTCCTGCACTGTCCAGAGCGATGACCAATGACCGAATAATATGCTCCGTACCAAGCTACTTTCGTACGCTTACACCAAAAAACCGCGGATACGATACTTTTGGCTCGAGGCTAAGCGAGAAAATTATAATACCACCCGCTGGTCCCTTCCCTTGTCTTTCCTCTCCTCCCCTCCTCTCACAACCACATCACTCCCACCAAACAGACAACGAAGTCACCTTACAATACACTTACAGAATATCCTCAATACCATTACCCCTTCGTCGAATCATGCCTCAGGCTATCGCTGGTCTGTGAATGCCCACTGCGGGTGTGCGCGAGAGCATGCCCGCAGTCCTTCAGCCCACCGAAACTTTCAATCCAATACGACCTCGACGAAGTTACCAGACTCTACCTGTCTACTGCTACCCAGTCCAGTCCGCCTCTAGACCCACACGCATTCAGTCAGACAGAGTTTGTCCATTATACACAATTACAGATCGAGTTTCGCTTTCCCAGCCAGAAAGGCGTGAGCTCTATCCGCGAGCGATCTTTCCCCCACCATCCCGAATCCCGAGTCAACCAGACCATCTACGACCCCTCTACAACCCCTCTATGCTTTTCGATTATCTCAATCGACCATCATAACCATTCATAAACCATATCTGCACCAGGGAACCCAGAGACGCAACTTCTACTAGAGATCTTGCTCTTTTTGAGGCTACACCGTAATTTCCCCACCACCACCATACCCCCATAATCAACCAAAATGTCGCGAAACATGCGACAGAAAGCCCCTGTGACTCCGGTCCGCAAGTCCAAACGTTCTACCAAACCCTCGGTCACTTCTGACGACGACGATTACGATGCAGTCAACGAAATATCTGATAGCAGCGATGAGGACGAGCCAGATGTCGAGGAGGCCGAGGAGGCAGCCATCATCCAAGATCCCTACTCTGAAGATGAAGGCTCACTTCCCTCTCGGCCAAATGAATACGATGAATCTAGTTGGGAAGGATTTGGAGATTCTCCCTTGCAAGAAAACTTTTTTGAAGACCACTTTGCTACTTCAGTCGAGCAAGAATCAACCACTGGTATGACTGGATGGACTACTACCGCTCCTTCGTCTGATACAGATGCTACCGCAACACCTCGACGTGTCAGGTTCAACATTGATACAAGTGACGACTCGGAGATTGATTTTCAAGAGTACCCTGACCCCTGCCACTTTCTTGACCAAGCCAGTTTGAACCCAAAGTTTCGCAAGAGGATCGAGCAGGATGACGATGAAGTTTCGATTGATGGTGGCCATTGGGCTTGGAATGAAAGTTCAAGTTCACATACCCAGTCAGACGAAGCTGGCGAAAGCGCAGATTCCGAAAGCTCAGATTACGATTCGTACGGTGTGTAGTCAAAAGCGTGCTTCCCAAATAATGCTGACATAAGAATAGACGATGAAACTGATGAGGACATCCCCGCAGGCGCTGCCGCTCCTCCTCTCCGTACGGTTCGACGCCCGTCTGTTTCTTCGTCCGACTCGGCAGAAGATATTACCGTTGTTCGCGAGTGGCATGGGTCAACGCCCAAGCTTGGAAGTTGGAAGCGCGATCGAAACAAACCTTTTGTCATGTCGGATAGCAGTGGAAAGAAACTGCTCATGTTCAAAGCTCCTAGACGAAGAATCAGTTTCAACACGGCGGTCGCGGGAATGCAGATGGTGCCAGTGCCAGGGAGTACACCTATGGAAGAGATGTCACCGATGCTCAGCAACTCTGCGAATCTTATGATGAGTGGTATGGCCCCAATTGATCGATTTGGAGCGGGACCAGCTATTGGACCACCTGAAGCTTTTTACCCCTTTACGTCTATTTCCAGCGATGGCCTCATCACGCAATATACTGACGAGGATGAAGATGAAGATGATATCGACGGCATCGACAGTGATAATCTTTGGGATATCAACGACATGATCGATTTCGGAGATGGGAGTTCTGATAGCGAAGGCGCTTCTCCTTCAAGCGACACAGCAGAAGCTACTTCGACCCCTGCTCGCCCAACGACAGCTACGAGCGAAGACCAAGCCCATCCTCTCCTCAATCACTTCCATAACCCTTCGGTCGTCGGCGCCTTTCGTAGTCATCAGAACCTCCATCAATTGATGACGCGCGACAACGTCTCGCAAGATTCTCTCGCCTTTTCGGGTCCGTTACAACAGGGAACTTTGAGGGGTATCAAGGGAGGACGATTCGCCGCTGCCAACAAATCCATCACGCCTAGACGCAAGACGCTTCAGCAGCCCATGGGATCGAGTCCTGGAAGCCCTCTGGCTAATGCTGGCAAGCGAAAGTTCAATGGGGATGAGCTTGGGGGTCATAAACGCCATCGTAGTCTTTTTTAAAGTCATCCTGGACTTTGAGATTATTGGTGGCTAATACGCCGAGGACGGCATGACAGCAGATTGCTGTTATCCCTGGCCTCAACCTTTATATTTGTTCGTCTATTTAGACAAAAGTCGGTTGGCAAAAAAGTGTTTAACTTTGCATTTCTTTTTGCGTTGCTTATTTAGTTTATACGTGTGTGTACGATCGGTCCCTGTCCTTTTAGGGATATCTCTCACAAGTAGCTTGGACCGGTTCAGTCCAAACTAGACTTGGTAGATGAGATTTGGTTGCTGAATTATCTGCTGTGGTTGGTGTGTGTATATATTGCGTTGGACTGGTGCATTGGTGAACAACTATATGCCGGACAGACAGGCGCACTGGCGTTGGAAGGAACTCAAGACATATGTCTTGCTTGGTTGACATGAAGTGGTAGATAGACTTTGGCATGGCATGGCATGGCATGGGCAGTCTGCACCAACGTTCCTAGCATCTAGCATCAATGAAAGAAAAGAAAGTTTATAATATGCATGCATACACTTGCTACCATTTGATCAATTTCGAATCGTGAATGTTCAAGTGAAGATCGTCAGCTGGTTCACAAGGCTAGATGGAATACGTACGGTCTACTTAGCTTAGGTACCGAGTACTGCGGCGAAGCGTATACGTACCGCGTAACGTAGTCAGCAAGGCAAGCAAGGCAGGCAAGGAAGGCTATGCTAATAAACCGGGGTATCATTATCTCAATGTAGAATGAGCAAGCCTTGTCTTGTCTTGTCTTGGCTTGCGTTGAATATTCGGCACTTGGTTAGTTTACAGATGGCATGGACGATGTAGGTAGGTAGGTAGGTAAGGTTAGGTTATACGGAGTAAGGCCGTTTGGTTGGCTGGTTGGTTCATCCCGAGTTCGTGCGCGGCGTAAGGTGAGCTGGGATGGGATGGGATGGGATGTAGGACGGAGCACGGAGTAGAGGGGGGTAGGTAGGTAGGTGGGTGGTTTGTGAGAATCAGCAATGCGTGGAGATGCGTTGGGATATTTCGGTACGAAGGGAAGGTGCGAAGGTGCAAAGGTGCGAAGGTACGAAGTCTAGTCTCCTGCTCTCATTTACATTCTGGTTTTGATACCGCGGGTATATATATGCGCATTTGTATGTACGGTACAGTACGGAGCGTGAGAGCATGCATGCATGTATTGGATTTATGAGGTTTGGGTTTAGATGTGGGATTCTTATAGCGAGGGTGATGGTAAGGTAATGCTGTTTTATAACATAACTTGGCTACTTTCTCTCTCTCTGTCTTTGTCTCTGCCTTGTCTTTTTTATATGGGGATGAAGCTGGAAAGAAGGAGGGGAGGGGAGGTATACCTAGGTACGGAGCGGAGTAAGCACAGCAAGGTTCTGCATCGGGGAATTTCCATGCTGACTATGGTGCCAAGACTAGCGTTGGACTGTTTTGGGTTTAGTGGGGGATACTGGGGTGGGATGGAAGTCTAAATTAAGGTTCCTCTGGGGTCGGATTGGTGGGTGGTGGATGGTGGTCTGTGCATCGCAATTCTGACACTGGACAGATAGGGATTATGATGGATGGATGGATGGATGGATGGAGATTGAGGTGAAGAGAAGGGATACGACATGTTAGATTCATATAGTATTATATGAAGAGATAATAATAATAATAATAATAATAATAATAATAATAATACTATCCAAGTAGAATCCATGCGCATCAAAGGAAGCAATTCATGAAAGCAGTGCGCATTCATCCCGTGTCCCATCTGTCTTTAGAACTTCTCACTTGCTTTTTGCTTCCGGCATCGATATATACTTCGCCCATGCTGGCCAATCACAGACAGCGTATTACGCCCACGTGCACCATTCCGTTTGGTGGAGGCTGTACGAAGTACAGGACGGATACGCTAGTGCAGGTGGCTGTCTATAAGCGGATCCTTTGATTTAATCCATAAAGACGTGACGCCCGGTGTTATGTTGAAGAAGCGTCATGACCGAGTACATACCATATATGCCAATAACTCCATAATATCCTTTCACGATGAAGTTATTCCAATCTTTTGCTGTTGCTGCTGCTGCCAGTCTTGGTTAGTCAGATCGTCATTCCCCGCAAATACTCCAGCTAATCAACGGACAATTCCCAGCACCGCTCGCATCCTCCCTCGCGACCTACGCACCCATCTCCTCGGGCCCATCTTACAGCGTCGGCATCCCGCCCAATTCCCCCATCTCCACGTCCGCGCAAGGCGGGATCTATTTCTCGCTCTCAGCTCCAACTTCCTACCAATGGGTTGGCCTGGGCATTGGCAAGCAGATGGCTGGCGCTACCATCTTTGTCATGTACGCGGATGGGAGTGGTAACGTGACGATCAGTGGACGCGATGGAGGTCAGGGGCATGTTGAGCCAGAATTGGATTCTGCGCTGATGGCTGGTGTGGAGCTGCTGGAGGGTAGTGGCGTAAATGGGAGTGTGATGACTGCCAATGTTCACTGTAAATATCCTCAGTTCAGACTGGACCAGAGCTGCTTTGCTTAGGTGATGGATACTGACGATAGGATATAGGTACAACATGCACTCTCTCCTCATCCTCCAACTCTGCATCCTCCCCCTGGATCGCAGCCTGGCACTCAGGCGCAGCACTCAACACCAACGATGCAGGAACCGACATCGCCCAGCACGGAAACGATGATTATCGACAATTCACGCTCGATCTAACCAAAGCCTCTCTTTCCACCGATTCGAACCCTTTCATCGTAGACGCTGCATCTGCATCTTCCCCTTCGGCTTCCGCAAGCCCGAGCTCGAGTTCTGGTTCCGCTTCTGACGATGGTTCAAGCAGCAGCAGCACTACCGAATCAAACCAAAGCCGGATTGAAAGGTTCCAAAAGGCACATGGCGCTATCATGGGTCTTGTGGTCGTTATCCTCTTCCCAGCTGGCGCTATACTCATGCGAACTATTCGCCATCCGTGGATTCACGCTGGTGTGCAGATTTTCAGTCTCGCGCTCTTGATAACTGGGCTGGCGCTGGGTGTTAAATTGGCGCAGTATACGGATCAAGTGAGTCTGCTTTCCTTTCTTCCTTTCTCCCTTCTCTTACCTTACGTACCTAATCAATATTCCATTATTTACTATTTTAAATTTTAAATTTCACGTACTAATGCGATTCGATTCGATTCTAACGCTTTTGCTAATATATACTAACACCACCCAGCTCTGGGGCAACACACATACCGAATTCGGCGTCGCCATCGTAGCGCTCTTCCTCCTCCAACCCTTCCTCGGCTTAGCGCACCACTTCCTGTACCAGAAACACTCATCCCGCACCCCCGTGTCCCACATCCACATCTGGTACGGCCGCATCCTGATGATCCTGGCTGTTATCAACGGGGGTCTGGGCCTGAAACTGGCGGATAATACGAGGAGTGGCGAGATCGTGTATGGGGTGCTGGCGGGTGTCGTGGCGGTGGTCTATGTGGTTATTGTTGTGTTGAGGAGGCAGGGGAATGGGAATGGCATTGGGATTGGGATTGGGAGGAGGGGGGAGAAGAAGACGGAGAGTGAGGGGGGGAGTCCGCGTTGAGGCGAGTGAGGCATGCTTGTGTTTTACGAAAGGGGTTGGAATCGGAGTTAGGTTGCCTGGTTGCGTGAGATGGTATATCTCGATGAGTATATGAAGCTCATTATGGTAGCATACCTACCTACAGTTCTCATTTGCCCTCGCATCGCAATACCACCTTCTCGATTCCTTTCCTTGTAACTAGTACAGGATCCGCATGCGGCATTCCTAGTATAGTTTTATCAAGGAAATCAGGACATAGTTTATTACACCCAGCCCATCCCGTCCAGTCCAGTCCGAGTTTCCAACCTACCGAAGGAGCTCTCCATAATACGTAGATATAGATTCCCATAGAACTTATTGGCTGGACCGTGAAGGGTCCTTGGACAGGATGGTTCTACCAAGCCCTACGTAGACCGGAGCGGCATCTATTCTCTGCCATTGCATTGATCGGCTCACCCCTGCACGCTTTAGCATCTGGTGGCATGGATGGACCGCTTACGTAATGTCATGGTCGATGGGCCATACCCATACCTACAGCTTACTACATACACGCACCAGCACGCAACAATCAAACGACGATACAGGACAGGCAAGGACGCCCGCCGAGACATGCACCGTTCAGGGCTCTTCCTGTCGGTGGAATTGAATCCACAAGGTGCCTTGCCTTGCTGGCAGGCTGGCAGCCATACCAACATCAGATTTATACGCGTGCGTTTGCGTGTGTACGATTGAACTATAATTAATGCTGGGCTGGGTAGGGCAGGGCACCGGGACATGATTGGCTTCATCGAGCACGTTCATCAAGGTGAGAGCTACCGCAGATGGTGTTCGAGTGAGACTTTGCGCCTTGCGCGGACGCGACGGGCTGCCGAGCTGAGAATGATTTGATGATGAATCTCAAATCCCACTCCACGCGCCGAGGGCGCATTCAGGCCAGAGGCAATCACTGGAGATTCATGTATAGGAAACTGGATGGATCTAGAATGTCTTGGGTAGGACTACCAGAATTGATGTGAAGGTAGAGGAGAACAAGGTTCTGCTTCCTAGTGGAGGTATTAAATCTATTATCGATATCTGGTTATATATACATGGAGTGGAATAGCAGAAGGTCGCGGTGAAAAGCGCTGTGGATGGTGAAATGGAGATATGATACCTCTACCGCTACCTCAACATGAGGTGTTATAGCTTCACAACAAAACGCTCCCTAAGCCACCCTCCGTAACGATAGAAGAGTAGTGGCACTGGAAGAAAAGCCACGGCTATAAAACCTAGGACGCTATTCCCCCACCCAAGTCCTAGGTCTGCATACAAAGGTGGCCCTGCCAATGGAATGAAAGCTCCAAAAAGAAGTCGGACAATCACATTGGCAGCCAACGCAGACGCGGCAGCCTCAGCGCCAAAAGCATCCACCAAATACAGCTGAGTTGGCATTATGACCCAGAGAAAGCCGAATCCAAAGAAGAAGGTCCCGATGATGGGCACAATCCAATGAGTCTGCTTGTCGGCTGCCCAGCCATACCAGAAGATGCCGATGGGAATGGTAGGCATGACCCACACCATGGGCTTCAGGCGTCCTTCAGGTGTGGGCGAATCTCCAAGTGCCTTTTGCAGCTTGTCGCTCACGGTGGCAAAGGCTGCGAGAGAGACGGCCATTCCAAGTCCAAGACCGAGATATGCCAAGCCAGAAATGCCGGTGGAGAAGTGATATTTTTCCTCAAAGACCGTGGGGAAAGTGGTGAACAGCATAAAGAGGAGGCCGAAAAGGAACGCGCACAGGAGGGCAAGGAGGAGCACGATTGGCGACAGGATGAGAAGCTTTATGGGCCGAGTAATGGCGCGGAGGAACAGCTGGCGGGGTGTCAGGCCTCGATCCATCTTCGACACCAGAGCAGTATTGCCGGTTTCTTTCCGGAGCCGAGCAGCTTTCCATCCTAGCAGCACGGCCGCATTGGTCTCGCGGAGGAAGAAGATTGATATAGTGAATGATAATCCTGCCTGGGTCGAACCGTCAGCGACTCGAGAATAGTAGGGGCTGAGCTCTACTCACTAGGATTAGGATGATCCAAAAAGTCCACCGCCAGCCAATTGATTCGGACACAAAGCCACCAACAATTGGGCCCAAGACCTTGAAGAATCGTCAGTGTCATGAAGGTTTGCGTGGGGTAATGCCACCTACTGGTCCCATAAGTGGTCCCACGAAGAACAGAGACATTGCCCTCCCACGCTGAGCTGGCGGGACAACATCAGCAACAGTTCCTCCGCCAACTGTCAATGGGCCCGAAGAAGCACACCCGGCAAGGAATCGAAAAACGAGAAACATGCCGGTGTTCTTGCTCAGCGCACATCCGATGATGAAGCCAATGTAAACGACATTGCAGGTGTGGTAGATGACAAGGCGTCCGTACAGTTCGGATAGCGGTGCAACGACCATTGGCCCAACGGCGAAGCCGGCAAGGTAAATGGACACGGTGAGACTGGTAACGGTGGAACTCGTGATATGGAACTCCTTGGCAAGCGCGGCAGCTCCAGGTGCAAACATCGTCGCGGCGAGGTTGCTTGTATGTGTATTAGTCAGTATGGGATTTGCTTTGCCAACAGAGCGCAGGAACCACCTTACGCAGTGAGCAAGAAAGAGGTGGCGAGGACGACTTGGGTCATGCGTTTCCATGCTGGCCAATTCCGCGGATTCTGGGCATCGTCTGGCCCATCCCAGTCGACGACATTGTCCTTTGTCTCTTGTTCAATTGCTGTTTGGGCAGACTCGCTAGGTTGTTGGTCATGGTGGCTGTCTTCTGATATGGCTGGCTTCTCATGGGCGGATTCCAAGTCGGCCGCCATGATATACTGTCGATAATAGTGTGGCTCTGGGATATTGACGCGTGTTTGTTCACTGGTGCCAGGCTTTCTGAGGCGGCTTTGTTGAAGGTAGGTCGTGTTGGGTATTAGATGTCTGACAGCAATGAGATCAATTAAAGAGTGGATATTTTGTGGAAGCAAAAAAATAGGAAAGAGAGGTTGCTTGTTCTATATGTACAAACGATTATTACACTACGGATGATCATAGCAATGTAAGGAAGTTCCATTCGCGGGGTTAGGAAGCCTAACTCCTTTGATTGGTTTATATGTGAGAATAGGAGAAATATGCGGACATGTGACGCGGAGGGTCGGAGGGTCGGACTGTCGTTGCTTTCTCCATTGCCTCTCGGTTTGCCCACCAGACAGCTTCTTCCTCTTCTTGAAGTGGCCGTGAAACCGTTTGAGAGCGGACCAAAAAACAATTCCGCTTCGGAAATACCTAGATTGCTGTGTTCGAGGTTGAGCTCCGCGAGCGCCTCAATCCAATCACACCATGGCCGACAATGCTCAACGTCCGCGTCCGCCGCCAAATCGACGCAGAGACAAAGTCCAACTTTCCTGCGACCCTTGCAAACACCGAAAGTACGTGCTCCATAGCCATCACAATGTCGTGCACGCTTAACTTTGCCAGGCTGAAGTGCGACCGACAGCACCCATGCGGAGCTTGCTCAAGGCGTAGCCTCACCAACTCCTGCAATTATGCGACGACATCTTCTTCTACGCCCGATGCTCAGCGGTCCGTTGCTCCGCGACAGTCCACCAGCCTCCATGGCAGAATCTCTGAACTGGAGAGCCTTGTTGTGACGCTCATGGAAGCCCAATCACTCCCAAGTCCGCTCGCACCGAAATCGCCGGGACCAAGCTCGCTCTCATTCACAGATGTGTTCCCTGAGACCCAGAGACCAAAGAAATCCCAGGATGAAGCTGCATCCCCGGCAGACCCTGGCACCCTAAAGTTGCGCGAGTCTGGAATCAGCTATGTCCAGAGTGCCCATTGGGAGGCCATTCTAACTAAAATCAGAGGATTTCGTGATTTGGTCACTGATAGCAAGGCTCCACCCGGTTCACGCTTGTTCTATGGCCCGAACCGTCATGCAACTCGAGATGAAATACTGGCTGCTGTTCCTCCTCGTCCAGTTGTTGACCGCCTCATGGCCCTTCACTTCGATTCCTACATTATCTCTCCCTGTCAGTACATCCAAGCTTTCTTTCCACTCTTAGAGGCATTGACTGTGTGCTGTAGATCTCATTCATCGCAAGAAGTTTCTCCGAGAGGTGGGTTCTTTTTAACCTGGCCGATTACAAGCAGTCTGACATTTAACCAGTACGAAAGCTTCTGGGAAGATCCGTCTGCAACTTCTATCGCTTGGATCGGTCTCATGTTCTCCATGTTATGTATTGCTGCGCAGTTGCAGGCCTTCACCATTGACTTGATCGACGGACAAGCCGAATCGCTCAAGGCGGAATATCTTACCACGAAGGATGACTTCCGGGATAAGGCCGTTCAGTGTCTTATTCTGGCCAGGTATACGACGGGAGGACCATATATCTTGGAAACCCTCATAACGGTCCTTACTGGAGAGTTTATACTCGTGAAAGATAGCTCTACCGATGGCTGGCTTTTGATCAGTACGATACTTCATCTTGCAATGCGCATGGGCTATCACCGGGACCCAGATCACTTTCCCGGAATATCTCCATTCGAGGGTGAGATGCGTAGACGCATTTGGACCATAATTCTTCAATTAGATCTCGTTCTCTCCTTGGAGATGGGCCTTCCTCGAAGTGCCACAGATACGCACATCGATACAAAACAGCCCCGTAATCTGCGCGACTGTGATTTTGAAGAGGACACGACCGAGATGCCTCCGCCGAGGCCAGAAACAGAATGGACGCCGGTGATCCCTCTCATTGCAAAAGGGCGACTGATATCAGCTCTCGGCTTGATTTGTGACGTCAACACCGATATTAATCCCCCTTCCTACGAGCAGGTCATCAAGGTCGACGCACTTCTTGAAGATGTGCACAATCATGCTATTCCGGCCGTGCTGCGCTGGCAAACTATGCCACACCCCATCACGGATAGTCCAAACCTTGTGATACAGCGGGTAAGTGTAGAAACGACCTACTACAAATCACGCATCCTCCTGTACCGGAGAGCTTTGATCAGCTGCCCAGTTCGACAGACTGAAGAGCGGACCAGGGATTCGGTGCGAATTTGTTTAGATTCCGCACTCAAAATTCTATCGTATCAACAGATGCTTCACGAAGAGTCTCAGCCATTTGGTCGTTTGTCTCAGCTTAGATGGAAGGTCACCCAGATTTTCAACCAGGATGTTCTCCTCGCAACGAGCGTGCTCTGCCTCTACCTTCAAGACGTCGATAAATTTGAATTGCCTGAGACTGCAGGACAGACAACGTGGTCGCCTAGGGCTGAAGAGATTCGACAACGACTAACGATTTCGCACAAGATTTGGCTTGAAATGAGTACCGCATCTGCGGAAGCTGGGAAAGTAGCGAAAGCTCTGAGCATCGTCCTTGGAAACACAGAGACGTCTTCCGAGGACGATAATACACCCGCTTCTTACGACTTTCTGGCGGATTTTGATGCCATACCTCTGAACGGATTTGGCGCAACGTTCAACAATCAATGTGAGAAACACACTCGGTCATGCCGATTGCAACTGACAAAAAGACTTATCAGATCTTCCTTCTGGCTTCTACTCTCCTCTCACGTTTTTTGATAATGTACTGGAAAATGGGGGGACATGAAATATGATTGTTTTGCTGGGGCTGAAGCACGTAAAGCAGGCCTTTCGAATGGCTCAAATGGCGGACAGTTTGTTCAGTCCAGCTCACCAATTCGTTGATTTATATTCGTAGTGCTGCCGTAGTCAATTTGCGCATCGTCGCATACCCCCTTGAGGTTCGAAGCAAAGGGGGTTCGATTGTGATAAGCGAGATTCGCTCATGCACATAGATTAATGGGTGAATTCAAAGGACATTTTAAGGATAAAGAGCTGGAGACTTGGAACCCTCTGCGCGAGAAGTCTGAGGCATAGAAACGTAGACTGGCTGTGATAGGTCTTTACTCTTGAAGTTATAGACATGGAGACTAAGTGTTGGACGCCTGTATTATATAAACCTCTATGTTGGTATCACAGGCGGTGATACATAGAACGTGATCACTTCTCTACTACGTAGTATAGACTTGATGCTGGTTGATTAATGCTTAGCATTTAGGTAGTATTATAGCTGCGAAGAGGTAATGCCTCTTTGCTAACTAAGCTACGCTAAATCATATAAGCTAGATCATATAACTAGAAAGGTTAGGGAGGATTCTAGGGAGGATCCTAGGGCGGATCGTATATCCCAACACTCTAGATACGCATCTTGATTATTTCTGGCAACTGTTCTTTGATGAACTATATATAGTTAGCATTGTTTAGAATGCAAGTAATAGAATAAAGTGCAGTTGTAAATTATAATGAGAGATATACTAATCTTATTGGTCTATTAAATCTGGACATGTCGGCCTATGTTCCACTTTCTAACCAGCTGTAAATTTTTTCCAATATTGAATAGCTGTGCCTATTACTGCATCAAAGTCAATTTCTTCATCGGGGTCTTTATTAGCTTCAAGGCTGTTGATTTCAAAAGCGACATTTAACTAGATGCTGCACGAATTCTTCCCGTGGCTCGAGGTCGAGGTCTCCCTAAATATAGTCGTATAGAGCTAAAAACTTTTGCACAACTAAACCAAGTAGTAAAAAGGTTATAATTAGTTACTGGAAAGGAGAGCAGGAACAGGACTAAGCAACCTAGGCAGAGTGAGCGGAGGGTAAGTAGATTAGTCAGCAGAAGAGGCATAACCAACAGGGGTTGACAGAATAAACGGCCCACCCCAAAATAAGCGAAAACACCATGAATGCTGAAGTATATAAATCTATTATTTACAATGCAATAACTACCATTTATTCCCTCTAATAGGCTTTCCTCCTGATCTTTGGAGCTCTGCGCATCTTCTAGGCATATTAGTAATGCGGTGGCGTATCTCTTCTAATGTGATTTTGTCCCATTTATCTTGTAGTGCCTGCTTTATCTCCTCCTCTGAATCAAAAATCCTATATTGTAATCTTTGCTTAAGAATAGCCCAAATACCCTCAATTGGATTGCAATCAGGCGATTGGGCAGGGTGGATAAGATTTTGTATATTATAAGCCTCCTTATACTCCTGTGCAAGCCCTCTTTTCCGCATGCCGTGAGAAGGGTCTCTATCCTCTTGTAGAAGCCATGATTTATTATTAATATTACGCATAGATTCAACTGCTTGAACGTAAATAGGTAATAAACGTTCTATGTAGTATTTCTGTGTTATAGCATTGCCCTGGACTGTCTTTTTAACCGCGTGAGGCTTCCTAGCTTCCTATTCTGCAACTTGATGTGTATATTCGTCTTCGGATTCAGTCCTAGGACGGCGATGAGGTTTTAAAGGATATAGAGGTTGCATGATTTTATCTTCTTTATTATTATAGAATTCAAGTTTATTAGCTTTCCCCTACTAACTAATCCACGCAGCAATATAAAAGCGGACGCTGTTAAGAGGAGGTCGTTTATTAATATTCTCTAGATTATCTCGTGTCCCCTGCTCCCGCAAAACTCTCCCTTGACTTTATAATGTGAGATTAATATAGGCTTTATCTGTATAGATAATATAATTAAAGAATCTGAATAGAGGAGACTAAACGTGGTCAGCGCTATATTTTTCGCGTTGAGCCTTATTTTTCATAGAGATAATCTTCTTTATAAACGCGCAAATATAGCATCCCCCTCCCTTTATATGCTCCTTTATCTTTCTCTGCAGTTGCCGTTTTCCTATAGGCAAATTAAGAGCTTCTATCTACGCTTTAAGAGGTTATTTTTGGTACGGATTTCGTATAGGAGAGGTAAGCATCTTGCAGAGCGATTTTGACACCTTAGACTTCCTTCCAAGCTTCTACGAGACCTTTCGTGTCTTTCAAGAAGCTTCTAGGCCTATTTCCTCCCTTTGTTTCTTCCACCTGCGGCCTGTAGTTGGAGGTATATATTATTACTCGCAAAGCTTTCTAAAACAGAGCCTTGGACAGTCGCGGTCAAGCGCATTAAAAAATCGCGTCCGTTTTAGCGTGTCAGCTTCCTTCCATTAGCCAGGTGATAGAGGAGGAGTAAACCTATCATTTGCGCGTGTTCTAGGAGCTATAGGTGCCATGGTTATTATTATATTTAAGAACTAATAATAGGGAGAGTCAAAATCACATTCTTGGTGTTTTCGCTTATTTTGGGGTGGGCCGTTTATTCTATCAACCCCTGTTGTAACCTCTTCGCGTTTGCAACATCATAATGAATGCTAAGCATCATCAACCAAATACCAGAATCAAGTCTATACTACGTAGTAGAGAAGTGATCATGTATCAAACCTGTGATACCAACAATAAGATGTGCCAGGGAATAGGAATATAACAATTGGTGCCTCTCTTAGCAAGGTATCATTCGTATAAGACTAGGCAACATCGGCGCAGCAGTGAAGTTGAGTAGAGCAACTGTCTGCCTTGTATAATTTGGGAATTTATACAGGATAAATAAATCAGTCCTGAAAGAAGCTTCACTAGTCATGGGATCTCGGATATGCCTGGGAAAATTGTCCTCTCATCGAACTAAGAGCGCTTGGTGGACTACCTCTGCATTATGGCTCACTTTACTCCCTATTTGATAGATGCTTAGGGTAACAATAGCCACTATAGCTTTTCTCATTTAATTAGCCTAGTAGGTACTCTACTAATTAGATAATAGGATTTTGCATAAAACAGCATTGAAGAACCTATATATATTCTCCAAAAAAAAACCTATAATTTCTATATTACTATCCTATCACATAATAAGATACTATGCTACTACTAATAGGAAGACTTATAATAGCTAAGGGCTTAAGGTGTATATTCTGGTCTCCTCCTTTTCGAATCACTTCCTACCTAATGCAACTTTACAATCTCAAGAATGTTTCATTGCCATGATGTTATTCGTGACCTCCTCGGAGTCCTATTTCCTCTTTTGTCTTCTCCTCGCTACAATTAGTTCTTAAATTCTAAGATCGAGCAGTGTGGTCAATATCTATTGCAGTCAGACCAGCATCTGTACTGAAGACTTCGCATAAATACTCACCTTCTCGATAAAACGAACCCCTACGACGACACTATTCTCATCGAGGAATTCCTTCTCGTCCCCGAAAGAGTTGTCATCTTTGTCTAGGCAGGTTAAGCAGGTGACGACTGTTTCCGCATATTTGCGACCCATCTTCGGCGGTAGTTGATCTCGTGCCATCTTCACCAAGGCACGCTTGATCTCGAATGCTCTCTTCTTATTGTCTTTGATAGTAAAGTTCACGACACCTGAGATCAAGGGGCTTGCTTGTGGAGCACCTGTTTCGGACTCGAATACTACCAAAGATTCACCGATGCCAATTTCTAGCAAACAGACTCCGAGAGAGTATATGTCATGCTGCATCGTGTAGGCCATTTCTGGAAAAACACCCTGTCGTGTGGGATGACGGTAGAGATTTCGTTCCCAAATGTCATCACCAAGCAGCTCGGTTCTGCCTTCCTCATACCGAAAGCTTTCGAATCCTACTAGGAATGAAAAAGAGGACTCGGAGTATACCGAGCGGAGAATGAGCACCGTCTCTGGTCGGATATTTTTGTGTACGAAGCCTGCTGAATGAACAAACATCACTGACTTGGCGAGTTGCTTTGCGATCTCAAGTCTGTCATCCAACGGTTGAAACTGGCTGCCGGATACGAGCAGAAACCGGAGAAATTCAGGTTGTTCGAGGTTCGGTGGTATCGAAAACGCAAAGCGGCGCGAACTTCCTTCCGTCTCAAGCACCCCTCGGCATGAAAGAATGCCAAATGTGAAGGGATCAACTTTCTGGAGAATCCTAGCAAGCTTGCAGGAATCGGATAAGCTCGATATGCTGCTCTCTTGGTCCAACAGGAATCTGGCATCCCCACCGGCTTCATATACAATCTCAGCTTCGGAGTGGCTGAATGGTGCCCGTTTCTCTTCGAAGAAGTCCTCCGAGAGGTAAACACTGCTGTTCCCGGCAGCAATTTGTCCTCTAAGATTCTCATGAATGGTATCTCTCAGGTCTTTGAGTATAGATAAAGGTCCATCCTCTGCAATGCTCACAGGCTGCAGCTCTTGGTCAAGTTTGCTGCTGGATTGCCGTATGATAAGATACCAGGATATATCAAAAACTTCTGCCCATTCTTTCAGGTCCAGCATGACAGATTTCAGGCTGCTCTTTACCCAGGTTGCGTACTTCAGGCGCTTATATTCGCCCTTCTTCGACATCATACTTCTCATCGTGCTTCCCTCTTTCGAGTCTCCGACAACCTGGTCAATCGAAGCAATTGCAGCCTGGGCTTTCCCTTGCAACACTTGGAGGACGCCATTTTGATGAATCTGATAGTCGTCGTCCAGAGTGTCCCAGATATTACGAAGTAATTCGAGCTGTCTCTGGATTTTCAACCACAAAGTTTCTATAAGCAGGATAGATTCTCTGATTTCCTGGTCTGCATGTTTATATGATTTGCAAGTTTGAACGAGAAGATTGCCATATCTAGATAACCATATCAGAAAGCACTTAATAGGGTTACTATGGAGTACTTACCTTATGCAAAGGTCCGCAAGGCTGAGCGCTGATGCCACTCCTTCCATGTCTTCATTCGGAGTTTAGAAATGTGGGAACCTGCACTCACTCAGAGGGTACAAGAAGGCTAATGACAATCGTTCCGTCAAGTTCTGTGTCTTCGGAAGAGGATAGGTAAAACGAGAGAAGCTGCAAGGTCGCGCGGGGAGCCAGATTATCCGGCTCTTTTGCGGAAAGCGGCACAGTACAGTACGAGTACAGCTGAGGCTGTGTTTGGGACTTTACTGGCCTCGTCGAGACCTCCGCATCTCGACAAGAAATACACAATTGTTGCATCTACAACAATTTGACATGCCACCCGCACGTTGCTATTCCTCTGGTAAGTTCTGGCTGCTATTATGCTCGTGCTGATTGTATAATCGAGCTGACTGGCGCTTCGACAGGATTATGCTGGCGCGAGGCTGCGAACCCCTCGCTCGGCGCGTAGCATCCCAATGTCTCTGAAGGACGATTTAGATGACTACAAACTCGACACTACTTTCCAGAGCGATCCCAAATGCGTCATACACAAGTTCTATAAGGTCCATCGAGCTCGCGGGTTCCGTAAGGTTGAGGTGCTGGAGAGATGGTTTCCTCAAGGAAAGGTCCTCGGTGCCGGTGCCTTTGGCACGGTCCGCCTGGAGAAACGAGCACCTTCCGACGATCATGAAGGTGCATTAAGGGATCTACGAGCGGTCAAACAATTATACAAATGGCAGCTGGACCGATTGAAGGTAGATTTTCGGAAGGAGTTATCAGCGTTGATCAAGTTCTCACGAACAAAGGTATGGCGGGTACCATCTTGAAGACCACTGCCGTCTAATTAGTAACAGTTCCGTCAATACGAAGTGTTTGTGGAGTTCTGGAACTGGTATGAGAATGAGGAATCCATCTTTCTGGCCATGGAATACTTCCCATTAGGGACACTCGGCGCATTCATCGAAAAGAAAATCAACGAGAATGACACCCGAAGCATAGCGACCCAACTATTAGAAGGATTGCATATCATGCATTCACAGGGCTTTACGCACAGAGACTTAAAGCCAGAAGCAAGATTGGAAAACCCCTGCAAACAAATCTCTGTAGCTAACTACTACTGCTTCTTATGCAGAACATCTTCGTGGTACAAGTATCACCTCAATGGGCGATCAAAATCGGAGATTTCGGGATAACCAAACGAGTTTCAAATAATAATACTATCATGCAGACTGCTACAGGAAGCCCCAACTACCTCGCCCCAGAAGTCTACGGGTATGTGCCTGTTGCAGATGCCGAAAGCTCTGCATATACAAATGCGGTCGACATATGGTCATTTGGGTGTGTGATATATGAGATATTTGCTACCAATGTCCCATTTCCGTCCTATCCACATGATCTTATGAAATTTTGTCGGGGTGGGCCATTTCCTGAAGGGCCATTGGTGGCCCGAGCTAGCAAAGAAGGCATCGACTTTGTGAAATCGGCTCTACAGCCCCATCCACTACACAGACTTGCAGCCTCTCAGATGCTAGAAGCTACGTGGCTGCAGATTCAAGACTCCGAATATCCGGGACAGCCTCCAGATATTGATCACATAGGAAGCCCAATCCCGGGACCGGGATCCACTGAGAGCACCGCGGCACCCGAGACCGAAGAGAGCGAGGATATAGAGAACGAGAACGAGAACAAAGAGGGTGACCAGACCATCACACGCCTTAAAAAGGTGGTCATGCCGCCGCTCAAACGTTTTGCTGCACTCTCGGATACTCTCAACTCGCCCGCAATCTTTGAAGACACGAACATTGACGAGTCAAAAACAGCTGACATCAGTGCTTCTACGTCAATTTTACCTATGATAAACACAATAGACCGACGATCACCAGTATATGAAAATGAGATAGAAGACATAACGAACAATGTTCTTAACCCTAGAGCTAGACCTTCGTTGCCCGCCATCGTGTGCCTACCCGAAGGTCCACCTGACTCAGTCACTATACCGACCATGAACGTCGATAGAGGACAAGCTCTCAGCTCGAAAAGAGCCAGACATCGCTGTTGATTGAGTACTTTGAGGGTGGAAAACCTAGCAAATCAGAATCGAAAAGACCGCCCGTTCGGGTTCGAGTAAATCCATCATCAAAAAGTCGCAGCAGGTCATCAGCAAACGATCATCTTCATATAAAGGAACGCAAAGGCGCGCGCAAGCCATCTTACGCAGAGCGAATATAATTAACTCTAAACGTCAAAGGGGACGAATTACTAAGCGACTAGGAAGGAGAAGGTAGCAAAGCCGTAAATTCATCTCAGTCACAGTCCAATGTCTTAGAAACATCCAAGGTATCCTCACATCAGGACGAACCCATCTCTCCAAGTAACATGGTAGAAAATGCCTCCGTTAACGTTAGTACCATTCGCGAACCCAACGATGATCAAGATTGCGGTAATGCAATTCCACTTCAGCATGTACCCAGGCTGCGGGAATTGCTTGTCCCGTCTATTCCTTTAACTGCCGCGGCCTTGAAGAAACAACAGAGAGAATTATGGCCTGAAGAAAAGAAGGAGCGCCGACAGCGGAAAAGTAAGGATCGCAGTCGAAGCAAAGCTACCGCCGAAGGCTACAGTCACGAAACACAGGAGCATGAGCCTCAGAGCCCAAATATCACTACTTCTTCCGGGAATGTGACCCCACTACCTGAATCTCCAGCAAGTCCAATCGGCGAAGGGCAAGGATTGAGTAATCCTGAGTACTCACAGGACATTGCAGCGAACTTACCTCCGACGCCCATAGACAATTTGTTTAGCGGCATGTCGGAAAGCAAAATCGGCGGGAGATATGTTAGGTCTGGAACATCATCTATCAATAATCCCAGGTTACTCGAAACTGTGGAGGATTCTATTAGACGCTTGATTTTACCGGAATTGAGCGCCGTGAAGAAAGGGGACCAGCATCGCAAGCGAGAGCAGCGTCGAGAGACAGGAGATTCCTACTTCGAAGTCATCACAAATTCCTCTTCAGATTCTACACGACCAAGGAGTCAACGTCAAGAGCGGACACCGACACTTGCGGCGGGATTTTCAAGGAGACGTAGTCGGAGTCGAGAACGATCGATAATTGCCCCAACATTGTCAGAGGCTGGAAGTCGGGATCCTCCATGTGTATCAGCAGCTGAACCTCTACCTCCACTCTCTCGGAGGCGACGTCGAAGCCGAGAAGGGAGACCTGTCAAACAAGAGCCAATCCCGGAACGCTCATATCGGTTCGACGAGTCCAGCGACGAGGAGAGTGCGCGGCCATGGTCGCGGCAACACTTCAGAAGCAGGTTTTCAAACGGCAATGATGATGAGGTACCTTTAACACCATTCACAATCTCACGGAAACGTAGTCGGAGTCGAGAACGAGAACGGGGACCAGTTGCAGCAGGGCAGCCCTCACCCTCAGCCACTAGAAGACGCAGTCTGAGCCAAGAACATACAGCATCAAAAATTAGTCTGCCTTACCCAAGTTTCAGTAAAGCGCACAGCAAGGATGCAATCTCAGCATCTCCAACACTACCTAGAAGACGAAGTCGAAGCCGAGAACGCAAGCCAGTGGTTTCACCTCTGCTCTCTCGAAGTCGAAGTCGAAGCCCGGAGCGAATACTAGGTCATAGAAGGCGAAAGTTTAGTCTAATTCCATCATCATACTCACGGCGGCGCAACAATCGACCTCAATATGACTCCGAATTGTCAGACAATATCCCGCAGCCGCAAGACGATTCTGACAGCGGCACTAGCCAACCACCAGGCCCACAAACAAAAAGAGCAGGCCACGCAGGTTCTAGCGGCGCCGCTCGCAAGGTAATGGACTTCTTTAAAAGGCGTGGCAAGTCTAGAGCAGGCGAAAAGTATGAGATTGATGGATATGAAGACTACTGATAGCTACTCCCATGAAATCATCATTAGAACTCTAATGGAGATTTGGACATGAATTTCTTTTAGACATTTAGTTCATAAAAGCTTGCTTGCTTGATTTTACCTCGTAACACGTGAATATAATATATGACCATCCAAGACCTTCAAGTCAGGCACCAACTCGCATCTAGCATGACCACATGGTATGAGCTTGCTGTTGTCACGAGTTGGAGCGTTCGAATCTCCAGATTCGTCAGGGCGTTCGCAGTCCAACCCGGTTTGTTGACAGGAAACGACAAAGAACAGTCCTCTGCTTCGCACCAAATGACAGGAGACGTTAGATTGCCACCAGCAATATTATCAGCATGGGCCAGCCTGCTTCTTCGATAAAATTCGTTGCTAGCTTCATTGTTCGAAGGTTTTCATTTATCGTATGTCATGATAGCATCCACTCCCATACCAGAAGGAGCGGTTGCGTTGACAGCATATTCGCCGAAAGGGGTTGAAGCTTTGCGGAGAAGGTCGTAATATTGGTATGTCCATGTCCTCTTTCAGGCCTTGTGCCCGATACCGTGGATAAAGCGATTGGTCGAAGTATCCCGCAAAGATGCGTCGGATACTCAACCGTTCTCATTGCTTCCACGCCTTATCAAGGCACTTGTATATCGCAGTCTGCCCTGCCCTTCATACAGCCCTACTATTGCTTCTCATCAGGCTCCTGCTTGTATTGCAGACCAATCATAATGCGAAGTGTCTTGAAGCAGGCAGCCCCGTCAGCCTTACGGAGAGCCTTAGACAACACATTTCTTCCGGTTCATTCATGAATCTCCCAGTTTATTCATGAATATGGCATTAGGGAGGCAGTAGCAGTGCGTGATAGTACAACACTGTGCGAGAATGCATCGGCGCCTCTGATTGTGCGACTCTCCTTAGTTTACACTACGCAGTACACCAGTATACTGTTTGGGTTCTTTATGCCTGCTAGCTAGGTGAAGGAGTTTGTACTATAGATGGGTTCTTTAAATTTGTATGTCGTCCACTCCTCCTTACAAGTTTTTTTTTATTACATTATAGTGTTGTACGAGCCAAAGACTATGTAACCCTTTTGGGCCAAATGCCGTGAAATTTATGGATTGGGTGGCGGTACGAGTGGAAGGGTATTCTCCGTAATTAGCTAATAGTGTGGTGCGGGCCGTGGGGCAGTGGAATTGCGCTAAATAGTCCAGGTACTCGTAAAGCCTAAACGACGGTCTGGTTCATTAGCTGACGCAGACTCCTATTCCTCCCTTCCTTCGCGGGCAACTCCAGTATTAATCTTACAACAGTACGCGTACAAGGTAGAGGGAGAGCCCGATACGCTATGCGATTTGGTCACTTTTCTTACTGGAAGCCTGGAACTTGGAAGCGACATCAGATTTGCCCTGTGCGGCAGTAGTGACGTGTGTACTCCTTAAGAGTTCACACCGAGATGGCATCCTTCAGGATCAAATAGCGTTGGCTCGGACGGGATTCGGAAAGCACGGTTGAGCTTCGTACAAGTACTCGTACGGCGTAGAAATTGAAATACTCCAGGTACGAGTAAAGTTAACGTAATGTTTGCCCGAACATCGATGCAACCGCGAGTACCATTTCCTTCACGGCCGGGTTCTTCCTCCACCTATGATATCGGTACGTTGCGAACCTGTTGACAGTATTGCCATCTAACAGAGATCCAGTACTCAACCAGAGTATAAGGCCGAGTCGACAAGTGCAGTCGCAATAATGACTCGTGGCGGCTTCGGGGAAAACATCGAGCAGACACAGGAGGAGCGCAAGACAAATGCGCCCCGGCGGCTACTAGAGCAGCGTCCACGGGCGTTAACGTTGACTTGTGCATTCCTCGCCGAAAACCAACCAACACAAACACAAACAAGCAATCAATCTCAATCAGTACTCTTTGGGCGGCTACCAAAAGAGGTCCGCCAACTTATCTGGACCGAGGTTCTGGGCGGGCATTTCCTACATATTGCTCGCGCTCCCAGGAGACTCTTAGCTATTAGATGCGCTGAGGGTTCCAGAGCCGGGGTTAAGCTTGAGACTGGCCGCCATAGTTGCTGGGGTGTAACAAGCCGGCGACGAGAGCTGGGTTATACGCCTGGATTCTATCATCTTCCAATATTTCAGCATCCCGCAAAACCTGCCAATCTTCTCCCTTTACTGCAAACATGCCGCCAGATTTATCTCGAGTCGATCTCTGTACCTTATACAGAGAACATTTTCGATATTAACCATATCGATACACTTCTATATCTCCAGCAGTCTGTCTTACCTCGGCGCCTAGCCCAAATCCGCTCCTTGAATCTCGCCTGGAATTTTCAATTACCTGTTGCTATAGGCCCGACTCCTTATAATCTTGAAACTTGGCGCGAGGCTTGCAATGTACTTGCTGCGAGTTATACTGGTTTATCTGAGCTTACGGTGCACTTGGCAGGCTCTACCGTCTTCTGGCCAGGCAATAAATTCAAAGATAGGTGGGGACTAGTGCTTGAAGCTCTTGTGCCAATAAAGGCGAAGAAATTCGATGTCCTTCTTCCTTGGTCAGAAGACGAATGTGTGGAAGCGGCGGAGGAAGGCGCGTATCCGTTTAGGTTGGAATCAAGTTTGTAATTACTATAGACGTTTAGTTGCTGAACTCCAGCGTGTTCTGTCAAAGTTACATGAGGCATGGGTTGATGGAGGTGTGGCGATTGATGAATAGAGCTCTAGCTCTACGTGCTCACCAGACAGGCCAATAAGTCAGTCAGTCAGTCATCAGTTAAGGAAGGGAAGGTAGTTGACAGACTGATATTCTTGGTGGTAGCTGACTGGCTGAGGGATTATAACTGATAAGTTGCTGATTCCCCCCCTTCCCCCGCCCCCCCTTTTTAAATGTTTCCTTTCAAAATAAAGGTCGGTTTATAGTGATATAAGTGGTAGGCTTATCTATACCAAAAAAGCAGTATTTGGGTGTCAAAATGCCCTATTTCCTCTTAGACCCTCGGTTTGGCACGTGGTGTGTAGGGGGAATAATCATGTCCTTTTGCCCTGTGGGAGTGGCAGTCTAAATATTACCCCCACATCCTCCGAGAGTGTTACGGAGCATTCCTGGCTCCTTCTAATAATAGCATTGCCCTAAATAGTAAAATACCA